TGTCTCCTAGAAAGGCAAGGAAACCTTCCCAACTACCAGCACCGAAGGGCAGGCCAGCTCTCCTGCTGCATGTGGCACCTGGGCTTGAGTTTCCTCATTACTTGTCACACGTCACGCAGGATTGAGATGTTTGACCCGTCTTGTGCTATTGCGCTGTAAACATCATGTGACAGGGAGTTATCTCTTTTGCCTACAGCAGGTTCCTATACATGTAAAAATGCTGAATAAATACTTGTACAATAAAAAATGAAAGAAAGTAAGGGTAGTGACACTTAACTTCAGCAAGACTTGTGAAGACCATGGTCGTTCTGTGAGTCGACTGCATTATACGACTGTGCAACTCCAAAGGATGTTATGCTACTTTTATAATTTAAAAAATTCAGGTGTTTGTGATGATTTTAAGTCTCTTTGAGAAGTCAATTTATGGAAGTCAATTTCTGACCTAGACTTTACACCAGCAGCAAAAAAAGGTTCTTTTTTGGTCAGAACTTAGGAAGAAACCAACTAAGACACTTTATTTTTGAGCTAGTGTTGGATCTGTGTCTGAAACATTTGAGGAAAGCTCAGTTTTTGCACATTGCTCGTGTCTGCCTGTCCCGTGTGCTGCATACTTGGTTCATGTAATCGGGTTTCCACGTGTCCTTTGCTCGAGGTCTGACCCAGGGGCCTAGACCACGGGTCTGCGGATTGTTTTCCCACGTCTCACAGTTGATGCTACCCCTGAGGTCATCAACTTGTTAGTTAATCTGTGACTCTGTTTCCTTGTCTGTATTTTGAGCCTTGTATCACAAAGATGACTATTTATTAGAGGAATATGTAGATATTTTCTTGGTTTATATAATAAAATGTTTTTAAAGATAAGATGAAGTGTTAAGGAAAGAGCCAGCTCCAAATGAGGGTGAATTAGGAGAAATGAGAGGGACTTACAATGAGTTTAGGGTTACGGAGTATTGTCTTCTAGCTAACACAGGAAAATAGGGATATAAGTTATAAACATTTCTTAGACATCCGAAAGGGAAATTGTGATTAACATGTATTATCATATCTGTAAGCTAGCCATTGAACTCATATTTTTATTTTTTTATTTTTATTTTTATTTTTTAAAAATATATCTTTATTGATTTCAGAGAGAGGAAAGGAGAGGGAGAGAGAGAGATAGAAACATCAATGATGAGAGAGTCATTGAGCAGCTGCAGCCCGCAACCCAGGCATGTGCCCTGACCGGGAATCGAACCCTGATCGCCTGGATCCTAGGTCGAAACTTAACCGCTGAGCCACGCCCGGCCGGGCAGAACTCATATTTTTAAATAAACGACTAAAAAGGGAGAGAGGGAAATACAATGTGATAGAATGAAAAGAATACTGGATGAGGCATCTTCTCACCTCATCTTATAGGTCTTCAAGGAGACCCACAAAGAGAGCGTTGTCGTTCTCAAGGCTCACGTAGAATATTTTAGAATTCATACTGCTAGTCTACAACAAGGTCAACAGTTTCTCTTTTCTCATTTCTCACTAGTTTACAGACACAGGTTGTTCAAAATATTTTTAGTTCAAATGAGATCAAGACTTTAAAAAACAATTGTAAACACAACAATCAGCCACAGCAACTCAGCTGTGCTCAAATGGGGAGAGGACATGGGCAATTCGTCTTCATGGAGACAGAGTTTCCCTCTGGGGAGATGAGAAGCTCTGGAGATGATGGTGGCGATGGCTGCAGAACAGTGTGAAAGTTCTGCCACATGACCGGACTCTTAGCCAGGATGTCAAGGGTACTTTCTGTGTCCTGTGTATTTGACCACAATGGAAGAATTCACCTCCGTTCTGACAGGTGGCTGCCGTAGGAAGCCTCATGCATGTTTCTCTGCACGAGTCCATATGGCTAGGATTTGAGGTGGCTCTTGTATATTTAAAAAATCTGTATATATTGCTGTTGTCTTCTGTTGGTAACAATTTATTGTGGAAAAGTCTTTTATTTATTTATTTATTTATTTATTTATTTATTTATTTTTATTGTTCAAAGTATTACAGGCGTTCCCATTTTTCCCCATTGATCCCTTCCCCCACTGCACCTGCTCCCCACCCCAGGCCTTCACCACACTATTGTCTGTGTCCATGGGTTATGCATTTATGCATATAGATTCTTTGGTTAATCTTTCCACACCCACCTTCCCTCTGAGATTTGTCAGTCTGATCCATGCTTCCATGTCACTGAATCTGTTTTATTCATCAGTTTATTATGTTCTTTAGATTCCACATATAAGTGAGAGACATATGAGAAAATGCTCAATGTCGCTAATCATCAGGGATGCAAATTAAAACCACAATGAGGTGTCACCTCACACCTGTCAGAATGGCTCCATCAACAAATCAACGAACTACAAGTGCTGGCGAGGGTGTGGAGAAAGGGGGGCCCTGGTGCACTGCTGGTGGGAATGCAGACAGGGGCAACTACCATGGAAAACAGTATGGAGGCTCCTCAAAAAATTAAAAATGGAGCTGCCTTTTGACCCAGCGATCCCACTTCTAGGAATATATCCTAAGAAACCCGAAACACTAATCAGAAAGAATCTATATACCCCTATGTTCATAGCAGCACAATTCACAATAGCCAAGATCTGGAAACAGCCCCAGCGCCCATCAGCAGATGAGTGGATAAAAAGCGGTGGGACATTCACACCATGGAATACTATGCAGCTGTAAAGAAGAGGGATCTCGTACCTTTCGGGACAGTGCGGAGAGTATTATGCTAAGCGAAATAAGCTAGTCAGAGAAAGGCAAATATCACATGATCTCACTTATATGTGGAATCTAAAGAAAAAGTTTGTTTTAGACAGTGGATCCCTATTGGAATTGACTGCTCGGCTGCAGTTTCCAGGATAAGGAGTCTTGGCAGCTTTTCCGTTCGTCCTGCCCAGTGAGCATCTTTTTCCTTCCCTTTCACTCTCCTTCACTCTCCCCTTCATGTGCGTGGGGAAGAGAAGGCTGTGGCCTGGGGCTGGTTGTTGAGGATGCTGAAGACACTCTTGGGGAACAGAGCAACAGGCAAGGGCTGCCACATCCAGAGCTTCAGATGAGGCATCGCTGACGCGGGTTCTCAGACTTGCTTGGTCCTTCACGGGCCCCGGCCCTGGCTTTCCCCAAGTCTCAGTTTTTTCCAACATAAAATGGGGGAAATAGCATTTTCCCTGTTTTGTTTACAAATGGGTTAATGCATGTAAATATGTTCTGTAGATTGTAAAGTGCTCTAAGAATTTAGAGTGGCTTTATTTAAACTTCTTCCACTTTGAATGGTTTGATTGATTGGCGACCTCTGTGTATAAGACAAAGGAAACATGTTAATGAAGAGCTTGCTCCCTCCTGTCTGGAGGGTGGGCTGGGCTAGGTTGGTGGAAGCTGGACGCTGGATGCCCGGCTCTGTGGCTTTCCTGTGGCTTCCTCCTCTAGTCCCTGCCCCGAGTAAGCCGACATCTCACTAACCCTTGGACATGTGAATATATTCCGAAGACATGGGTTTCCAACTTATTTAAATTATCCTTACCTATGGGTTCAGCTCAGTTAACTAGAGAAAATAAATGCAGATGATCACAGAATTGAGAAGGCTAAACATTCTTTCATGAGAAACCATGAGAAAGTGGAATGCCGCACAAGAATTCTCTTTCTCCTACACGGTTGCTTTTGTGATGATTTAGAGTGTGATATGGACCATGCTCCTGACCCATTTCTTGAGCTGTATGTGCAGTATATTCTGTAATGCAGGGAAATTAGGATGTGAGGTATTTCTGATTAAAGGGAAGGAATACAGCTGTGCGTGTGCATGTGCGCGTGTGTGCACGCGTGTGTGTGTGTTTCTCTGTGTCTCTGCGTGCTTGCTTAGAGATGGAGACCGGGAAAGGATCCTTCTTCTGTTAGGCTCTAGGAAAGGTTTATTCACCCTTGAGAAAGACCCTGTTTATGTTCTCACTACACCTTTTGTGCAGCCTTGAGGCCGGGGTTGTGCCCTGTCACTGGGGAGGCTGAAGTACACATGCTAATTCTCGCCAGCCACTGGGATTTGCATCCAAATCAGCTGCAGAGCCCAGGAGAACTGCTCGGCCTGCCCTCCTTACCTAGAATCTCTTCCTTCCCCCTCCCCAGCAATGGCCCTCAAAACAGTCTCTTTCAGGAGACCCCCATTTAAAACCAGCAGTTCTGGTGAGCTAAGATCAGAACAATAAACGACAGGGGCATCAATAGATTCTTTTGTTGAATTCTGGTGTTTTTCTCCCATTCCTTTAGGGGCCTCACGGCTCTGAAGAAAGATAATTACTTAAAACATATCTTTGGGGCTTAAAGGTTCATACTCATTTGTTTGAAAACCAGATAATTCCAGAGCCTTTTAAATCTGAAAGGTAGGAGCCTACAGATCCCCTCTTAACAATAACCTTTCACAGATTAGCCCTGAGAATGGTGTAATTGCACGCTTTCGGGGCACTCTGAGATCAGATTAACCAGACACTCAGTGAGGAGAAGACCGGAAAACGCATTTTGCAGGGTATGTGACAGGGTTCGAAGCCACTCCTGCCGCATAAAGAGGGACAGGGATCTGGGCTTTCCCACTCCGGCGGCGAGGGGGGGATTCTGGGGTGGTGGTCTGCTGCAAGCCGGAGGACACCCCTCCATCTGCTCACAGCCCAGCCTGCTCCCACTTTAAAGCCCAGAATTCAATACAAACCTCGATTCCTTTCCCCCCATTTAAATGCAAAGCAAGGCTTAGGAATCATAGAGCCTCTGCTTCTGGGATTCGGACCAGGTTTCCCCCCAAAATTCTCAGGCTGTTTGCTTGAATACCTGCTCGGAGCCGCACGACGGGCAGCTTTGGAAGAAGAATCGGTCGCCTTCACGGAAGAGTAATTTGAATGAAATTACACTTGACAGCCTGTCTCCGAGCACAGAGAGGCGCGAGGGAGCCTCAGCTGAGCTCCCGGGACTTGCCCGAGCCGCTGCTGTGGGAGCCTCCCTCCCGGGGAAGGAAAGTCGCCCGTTTTCCAGCGTCTAGTTGAGCTTTTGATTAATTCTGTGCAGCAGATCCTGCCGAAGAAAGGTAGCCATGGAGGAGAACATGGAAGAGGGGCAGACACAGAAAGGTACTGTGCTGAGGGGTTATTTGGGCTCCGTCATTATTTTGCGGTTTCCTCATTTGCTTTAGGCTCTTGCCAGGAGGGCTCGTGAATGTCTCCCCCGGGAAGGCATTTTTGTTCCCCCTTCGCCGGTGTCTCACGTGCAGCCCTGGCTGGCAGGAATGTTGCCATTTTTTGCGAACCTTTCAGATATCAGTCAGGTATTAGTGCAAGAGCATTGCAGCGCCATCGGTATTGTCTCGAGCCAGTCCTTAGACCATCCTTGCTAGCCTGGGTTTGTGTCATGTTTCCGCGCTCGTCGAGCTGGGCCAAGGGTTTGATTCCTGGTGTGAGCACAACGCAGCCTTCGGAGCAAGTCGTAGTTAAAAATCGGATGATGTAACCGTCATTGGTACCTGTGAGGGGACATCTCCTAGAACAAAGACCAAGAGTGTATTTATGACCGTTTGGTTGGAGCACCTATTTTTAAAATAATTTTTATCTTTTTGCATGGATGCAGTTAAAACATAGGTGAAGCAAAGGTTCATCAGTTTTCAGAGGGCTCTGATGTGGGGTTTTGCTTCCTCTCGGGCTGGCTGTCAGCCCTTAACACACGTCAAGGGTACTTTCTCATGCTTTGTTACGCCTGTGTAGGTCCATCTAGATACGTTAGAGTGAAACTGTCATTTTTGTAGGTTAGAAATGGGCAAGTATTGGCAATTTCAAGTGATTCAAACACTCTTGAATGTACATGTGTCAGGTGGTGGCTTCGGGGGGATGGTGGCTTCGGCCCCCGAGGCGGCAGCGCTTCCCGTCTGCCTGCTGCCAGGCTTACGTAACGGGCAGAGAACGCTCTGTGTTCTTAGAACGCAGCAGGGACACAGGTAACGCTGCGGGGAGGCGACATTCACGAGCGGTGTTGGAAAGACCCCGCTATCAGATTGGATTTCGAAGGCATATAAGTGCATTATTTTTAAAATGCTGTATTTTACATGAGAAAATAGGTAGTTTGGAAGCATATATAGTTTTTTCATTATTCTGAGGCATTCAGCTTTGCTGGGTCTCTTAACACACACACTCAAACACACATACACACTCACATACACACATACTCACACACACTCACATACACACACTCACACACACACTCACATACACTCACATACACTCACATACACACATACTCACACACACTCACATACACACACTCACACACACTCACATACACTCACATACACACTCATATACACACACTCACATACACTCACATACACACACATACACACACACACTCACATATACTCACACACACATATACTCACTTATACTCACACACACACTCTCACATACACTCACATGCACTCACATACACACACATACACTCACACACACATGCACTCACATACACTCACATACACTCACATACACACATACACACATACACATACACACACTCACACATACACACACTCACACACACACTCACATACACTCACATACACACACATACACACCCACACTCACATATACTCACACACACATATACTCACTTATACTCACACACACACTCTCACATACACTCACATGCACTCACATACACACACATACACTCACACACACATGCACTCACATACACTCACATACACTCACATACACACATACACACATACACATACACACACACTCACACATACACACTCACACTCACACACACACTCACATACACTCACATACACACACATACACACACTCGCACATACACTCACATATACTCACACACACATACTCACTTATACTCACACACACACATACATTCACATACACTCACATACACACACACACTCACATGCACTCACATACACACACTCACATACACACACACTCACATACACACACACTCACATACACTTACATACACTCACACACACTCACACTCAGAGCCCATATGATAAACACATAAAGGTTTTACACAAGCAATTGAGGGAGCTAATAAATAAGCCAATGTTTACATTTTAGTCATTAGCAGACTTGCTAGGGATAATCTGTAATAGAAACAAAATAATCTAAGAGATGTCACGTGATCTATTTGTTAAATTTTTTTTTAAAAAAAACCTCAACTACCTTTATTATATGAACAGATAGCTCAAGTGTTCATCAGTGATTTGAAATGACAAGTTTTCATGGAAATTTCCATCCTTAAACGGCATCTCCATTGACTGTTTTACTCTAGGAATAAAATAGTTTAATATCTTTTTTTTTATGGCACGTAATGAGATTGCTTTTTGGCTGGTCAGCTTCTTTAAGGAAAGGTAAGCTGATCATTTTCAATAGAGACGATATTCATTAAGCTAAAGAAAACCTTGAGATGAATCCTGGACGTGGTAACAGGTTGATGCGCCTGAGCCAGCCTCGGTAGCTGCCGGAATGGAGGAAAGTGATGTAATTAGTTGTGATGTTTTTTTCCCAGGGAACACTGAAAATCTTTCCTCCGTGGGGGTGGCGACAGCAGTGATGTGATGGGGAGACTCTGTCGCAGTGGGGTTTTTATGCTGGAGATGTGCGAACTTGCATCAGGAACAGCAGTGGGAAGCAATGTGTTAAAAATTAAAGAGCAAAGTTGTATAACGTATATAAAGATACGTAGCTAAAATATCCACGATTAAGCTTTTTTCTCATAATTGAGCAGGAGGTGACTTCCCTTCAGTCCTGTCTCCTGTTCCCCTGGACTGTGCCGTGACGCCTTGCCTCTGTCAGGTTGGGGTTAGAGAGTAGTGTTTGCATATTAACGCTCCCTCTACACCTGGATGGGATCGAAGCTGGAGGAGCCACCTGACAAGCAGGTGGGCTCGTCAGAGGGTTGTCAGGAGTTTGGGGGAACAGGTTGGACGGCCCATCTGCTTTCAGGGGGAGCAGCACCTGGCATTCTCTCACCTCCTGTTTTTTTTTAAACTGCGTAGCGTTTTCTTAAATTTCTTAAATACTAGTTCAGAGACCACACGATTTTCTTCCGTCTGAAAGATGCTTTCCTCTCCCTTTTTACAATTTAAACCTGTTCTTCCTTGTTACAAATTAGAAGGACTTAAATTCACGTCAGTACTTACCCAGGTCACCTTTCAGATTCAACTAGAATGTAAAATGGAAGCTGAGAGTTTCATAAACACACTCAAAAATAATATAGTTGTTGCTTAAGAACTTGAAAAGGTCTTTCATAAGAAATACATTTCTCTTCATGATGAGATCTCCCTTCCCCATTTAATCTGTAAAGGGGAATTGATAGCAGTCCCCGTGTTTATCCTAATTTAAGTCTGTGTGTTCAGCCTGGGAGAGAGGATAATTTACACACGAGGGTGACTTCACAGCCACTCTGCCATGAGCCCATGCCTTGGTGTGACACTGACCTGGGGTCATTTGTCTGCCTCTCCATTCCTTTCTGCCACCCTCCCCAGAGGCGAGGACCTATCGGTCATGCTGAGTGGGAGTCTAGTCTTTAAGGAGCATGTTCTTGGTAAAACATGTTCACTAAGCGAAAGCCAGTTACTTTATCTGCTGTTCCACCGAAGCCACCGTGTTCTGGTTTGGAGGGAAAGAGAAAATGAAAAACAAAGAAAAGTAGCTGTTGTGAGCTTGGCCCTTTCATAAACCTAGCATCACTCTCATCAGAAGTTGAGACCTGTGGTCACCAAATCATGACAACAAGGGTTTCAGTTACCATAGCAGGGTTGAGCCAAGTGCATGAAAAGATTTTTTAAAAGATGTGAAAAGTGTACATGTATGAGTTGGGGACATGTGACTACGTCTGGAACATTTTGCCGGATCCTGTGGGAAAAGGTAAAATGATTGAAGGGTGTCTGATTGTTAGTGGGTTAGGGAATGCCTGTTCCGGTGGCCGGGGAGGTGGCTGACAGCCGCAGATAAAACCTCAATGAAAGCATTACTGGGTTAGGAGGAGGTCACCAGGCAGGCGGGTGACTCAGTGAGTAGGAGAAGCGATGAAATTACATAGAGGTAAAGAAGAAAGCAACGAACTGGAAGAGCCAGCAGTTGGAATCTCGATAAATTGGCTATGCCAGAAACCTCGCTGACTTAATTTTTGAATGTCCTCAAACAAGGCTCAGAATCCCATGTTGCGTGTAGAAATGTTTGATCAGCTCAAAGATTATGGCCAAGGTGTTACTCCTCACGTTTCTCCCGCGTGGTTAACCAGCAGCATATGAACTCATGCTTTCCACTTCTCAGGCTGAGCAAAATCAACCACTGACCACTTCTCCACCACCGTTCCCCAGGACAATCAAGCTTCCTTGGTGACCCTCCAGGGCCGGTCACTGGAGGAAGTAGAAGGTCACACTTGGTGTGAACCAGGCCAGCTTCTCCATCTCAACACCCATCACATGGCCACTGATTCATGGTCATCGTTCATCCTTAGAGCAACACCACTAACATAAGTGTCATGTCAGCATGTGCTTAACTTAATAAGCCAGCAGGAATATGTAGATGGAAGGACATTCAATCTTAATGTCTATCTCATGTTGACAATACCGTACAATTATATTTGAATGTCTGCTCATAATTATAATTTTACATTTTACATTCTACATTTATACACACATGTCACTATAAAGGAGCCTATTCACAAAAGCATATTTATGGGCTGACTGAAAGTCTTTTTGAAATACATTTTCACCAGGGTTATTTTTGCCTTGAAAGAAGACTTTGGCTCCCAGCCCTTCCTTAGCCAGATGTCATCCCTGAGGGAGAGACACCACTACAATAAATGAAAGGGGAGGTGCTTTGGCTCTGTGACAGCAGATGATATTGGTCAACCTAAATTGCCCAGTAGTTCCAGTGCCAGACAGTGCTGCCTAAGGACTTTATAGAAGTGAACTCACTGACTTTTCACAATGACCTTAAGTGGTCCTAATACTGAGGAAGCTAAAAATCAAATAGGTTAATTAACTTGACCAAAATCACAAAGTAACAAGTGTCAGAGCCAGGGTTCGATGCAGTCAGACTAGACCAGGGTCTGACTT